TACACACACACACACACACACACACACACACACACACACACACACACACAATCACGACACACACAACCAAAATGCACGCACGCACACATACACAAACATACTCACACAATCACTGCCACCGCCGCTCAATTGCAGGGAGACGCGCATGCTGTCGACGGCAAAAGTGCACGTTCGTCTTGACGGCGCGGCGGATTGGTCTGTGGACGACGGCCCGTCGCGTGAACTCACCTTTCCCTCGGGCGTCACCCCGCTGGAAGTGGTCACGGGGCAGTCGTTTGCCGTCGCACGCAGCGACTCGGGCGACCTGTTTGTCACCAGCACTATCCCCAAGCTGTTTGGCGTCGACATGGTGCGTGTTGTTGTGTCTACTGAGACCGGTTGTGTCACATGTGTGTGTTTTTTGTTGTTGTTGTTGTTGTTGTCGTTGTTGTTGTTGCGCCTCGTGCGCTGTGTGCTTTCCTCGCACCTGCTTCCACTCCCCCCTCCCCACTTTTCCTCGTCCTTCCGTTTTGGGCTGGTGAAGGCAGCGAGGCTGAATTTGCTGTTCTACGTGCTCTGCGCTGCTTCAGTGTCTTTGCGCTCAACCCTACACCCCCTTGTTGTTGTGCTGCTTTGTGGTGCCGTGCCAACAGCGCCAGGGCGTGTGGAATAACTTGCCTAAGCCTGCTGGGTTCTCCTGTGTTGGCCTGCGCGGCTCCCACGCCGTTGACGGCTGCCTCCTCCTCGGCGATGACACCATCTTCATCTGTACGTGTTGCGCTCTGTGTGTGTGTGTGTGTGTGTGTGGTGGAGGGGAGATAAGGAAGTGCAAGAGGAGCAAGGGACACGCCATGTGCTGTGGTATGTCATGTCCATCACCACGCTTCTTCTGACGTTTCAACGGGGGTGCCTTTTGCTTGGTGCCACAGTTGGTGAGTTTGAGGGGACCGACGAAGCAATTGAGCAGCGCCGTCAGCGCCACGCAAAGGCCACAGCTTCCTCCAGTACGTTCATCCGACAGCCCGCAGATGCTCATGCTGTTGTTTTGACATGAATACACACATGTTTGTATGCATGTATGCACTTTTGTTGCTTCTCAATTCTTTCCTCCCAAGTATCGTTTCGCTCACATCTTCCACACGCGCGCGCTTGCACACGCGCTCGCACGCACGTCCCCCTTCTTCTTCTACGCCAACAGCGTTTCTGCGGTCGTTTTTCAAGGCGCCGAGCAGCGTTGCTGACGCGTGTCTGGCGTCCGGCATGGCTGTGCTCGCCCTCAAGGATGGGACCGTCAATGTCATCACATACAAGAGTACGTCGACCGTGTTGTGTGTGTGTGTGTGTGTGTGTGTGTGTGTGTGTGTGTGTGTGTGTGTGTGTGTGTGTGTGTGTGTGTGCTTGTTTTGTGATTTCGTTTTTTCCTGTATACTTTTTTCCTGTATTCGTATTTGTTGCATGTTGTGTACATGTGTGTACATATGTGTGTGCAGAGTCTCTTTGTGCACCGTGCACCCGGTGCCTCTGATGCTCGCGTCGCCGCCTCCCTTCATCCGCTTGCATGCATGTTCAGACCCCGATGGCGACAAGCCCAAGCAGCAAGACAAGCGCAAGGGGAAAAAGGACAAGAGCAAGGAAGAAAAGGGCAAGGACATCAAGTTGTCGCAAGCGGTGCTCACAACGCTGGAGGAACTGCCCGTGGGCCGCCTCTTCTCCCGCTCGGCCCGGCGCAAGGCCAAGACGTGCCACGCATGCTCGTACGTTGCCGTGTTGTGGGTTGCTGTCTCGCTGTGTCACTGTGCTGTGTGCTTGTGCCCTGGTCGTAATGGCGTGCCGCTGCGCTCCCGTTAGTTTCGAGTACACACACACACACACACACACACACACACACACACACACACACACACACACACACACACACACACACACACACACACACACACACACGCACGCACGCACGCACGCACGCACACACAACACGTATGCGTACTCACAAATGTACTTGCTTGTACTCACGTTGTCTCCAACTCACACTCTCGCCCTTGTGGTGCAGGGCCGAGTTCAGCAAAGATGATCACGTCTTCACATCCATCGACAGAGAGCTGTACGTCATGCCTGGTTTGCCCCCCGGGTGGCTGTGTACTGTCCTCTCATGCTTTGCTTCTGTTGCAACAGCACCTTCGTGCGCTCACGTGTTTGACGTGTCCTGTGTTGTTTGCAACAGGGCCAAGTTCTACTGCGAGAAGTGTGTGACCAAGAACAAGCTGTCGGAGCTCTCAGTGACATGCAAGGTGCGCGTGTGCGTGTGCATGCACATATGTGCGTTTGTGTGTTTGGGTGCGTGGATTGGCTATGAACAGCACCTACAAAGGGCCTGTGTGCTTCTGGAGTGCCTGGTGCTTCTGATCCGTGTTTGTTTTTGAGGTCCTCTTCCTCTTCCTCTTCTCCTTCTTCTTGCTTCTTTTCTTGCTTCTTCTTCGTCTTCGTCTTTCTTCTTCTCCTGCTTGATCACTCACCTGTGATATCCCTTTAATCGCGTGTGTTGAGTGGAGTGCAGACATTGCGCGTTCCTCTGGGCGGCAGTGGCGTTGAGCCACGCCGCGTGTGTGTCAATGAGAAGCGGCTCGTTGTGCTCACGAGCGAGGGCCGCGTCTTCGACTCCCACCCAGGCGTCAACGACGACACCTGCTCCGTCACACAGGCCAGGGCCAAGGAAGAACAGGTACGCAAGTGCACATGCGCTTGCATTGGATTTTGGGCGTGCATTTTTGGTGGGAGGAGATGGTGTTGGTTGTTTGAATGCGTTCTGATAAACTCTTGTCTTGGTGCGCGACAGTTTCGCCTTTCTCTGCCGCTCTCTGTACTGATGCGCTCTGGATCCATATGTATGTGTGTGTGCGTGTGTTTGTGCGAGCAGGAGAAGCTGAAAGAGGCTGGTGCGCTTCCCTGTGATCACGATTTCAGTCACCCAGCGGGCAGTGTCGCCCACATCTGCCCCGTACGTTCTCGAGTTTGGTACAGCCATCCCACACATTCACAAACGAACCCCGCACACATGCGCGCCACACACACACACACACACACACACACACACACACACACACACACACACACACACACACACACACACACACACACACACTCACTCACACTTGCATGCATTGACCCTTTTCATCTTCCGTCGCTTGTGCTTGTACCCATAGGCGTGCAACCAGTGTACCAACTCTGGCAAGGCGTGCTACCGCGCTGCCAAGAAGGACCGCGAGAAAGGTGGGGCCATCTGGGAAGCGTGTCTTACCCCCCCCCCTCTTTTTAAGCATGCGCCTGCCTGCACAGCTCACTCATACTTGCGTCTTCTCTAACTCGTGCATACCCCCAACACACAAACAATACACACACACACTCACACAAACAAACAATACACACACACATACATACACACATACACACTCACACAAACAAACAATACACACACGTGTGAAGGCGCGCCTTGCGGGTGCGGTGATGGCGACCCCGGCTGCCTCAAGTGCGGCATGTGCAAGACGTGCGCCAAGGAGGGCAAGCGGGAGGATGGCGCCGACTCTGAGCAAAAGTCCCTCACTGCCGTTCTCGACCCGCCCCACGCCCCGCGCGTCCTGCCAGAGGGCTTTGAGCTCTCCCGCGTGCAGCAGGAGGAGGAGTTCGCGGACGTGTGTGCTGGCGAGGAGCACGTGGTTGCCCTGACCGTGGACGGCAAGGTGTTTGTGTCCGGCTCAAACGAGGACGGGCAGCTCGGCCTGCCAGACATGGTGTGCACCGTCCCCTTCACGCACGTGCCCTTGCCCAGCGAAGCGCGCGCGTGCGGCATCGCAGCCGGCGCCCGCCACACGGCCGTTGTGCTTGAGGACGGGCGGCTGGTCACGTTTGGCCGCAGCGACGAGGGCCAGCTCGGTGCGGGCCGCGCTGTGACGGACGACGACCGGAAGGCGGCGGTTGAGGCTGCTGTTGACGCAGCAGCGAAGGAGAAGGCCGACGCACAGGAGGAAGAGAAGAACAAGGAGGAAGGAGAGGGAGAGGATGACGAGATGAAGAAGCCAGCAGCCGATGAGGCGAAGAAGGGGGAGGACAGCAAGGAGAAAGACAAGAAGGAAGCAGAGCAAGGTGACGAGAAGAAGGCCGAAGGAGCTGAGCAGAAGGAGGGAGATCAAGAAGAAGACAAGAAGAAGAAAGACGACAAGGAGGAGGAGGAGGACAAGGATAAGGCTGCTGCTGCTGCCGCCGCCGCCGTCGCCGAAGACAAGGCTGTGGCTGAGCGGGCCAGCAAAGCTGCCAAGGCTGCCACCAACGCGCCGCGCATTGTGGAGCTGCCCATGGCCGCGTCCACCGTGAGCGCCGCCGGCAGCGCCACCATCGTGTTTATGGGAGAGGACGTCTTTGACAAGTCTGTCCTTGCCAAGTCCAGCATGGCCTGCACAGGCCAGTACCTGCTTGCGCTCACGCCGCAGGGGGGTGCTGCCGATGCTGCCACCGACGGTACGGTGTGCCTGGCCACCTTCAACCTGACCAGCGGCCTGCTTGTTGAGAAGAACACGGCGTCCGGGATTGGCCGCGGCAGCTGCCTGTGCTTCAGCGCGCAGCACGACACGCTTGCGCTCTACGACAACACCGCCGCTGCCGTCAGCTTCCACCGCACGCTGCTGACGGACGTGGAACGCAAGCCACACGAACGGCAGCGGTCGTACTCGGACCTGGCGGTGGATCCCCGTGCATTCTTGCTGTCCCCGTCCAACGTCGTTGGCCCGGAGAGTGCGGCCACCGCGCCGCGCGCCCTCGCCTCCACGTTCCTCAGCGTTCTTGCTGCGATGAACCACGAGCCCGTCGGGCGGCCCAAGGCGGCGTCAGACAAGGTGGTGCCCAGCTCGCCCTCCACCGGCATTGGGCTGGAGGACGTGACGCATGTGTCGCGGTACTCGTCGCAGGGCGGCGGCTGGGGCTACGGCGGGTCGTCGCCGGACGCCATCGGCTTCAAGGTGAACCAGCCGATCGCCATCTGCGGGTTTGGGCTGTATGGGCAGGACTCCATGTCGTTCAACGCCACGATGAAGCTGTTTGTGGACGGCAAGGCGGAAGAGCCTCTGGCGACCAAGACGACGACGTACTCGAGCAACTGCCCCGGCCGCAACTACGCCGCCATCCTCTTTGACGAGCCCGTCACCGTGGAGCCGCACCAGCTGTACATTGCCTGGGCGCTGATCCAGAGCCCGCACTCGTCCATCTGTGGCTCGAGCGGCCAGTCTGTGGTGGAGGAGGACGGGGTGCAGTTCAACTTTGTCAGCACGCACCACGGCTCCAACGGCACCGACGTCAGCTCCGGGCAGGTCCCTGCCATCCTCTTCTGCACGCTGGACAAGCTGCAGGGGAGCACGGACCTGTTTGCGTCCACGGAGCAGAGCTTCAAGCTGAGCCCCCGCTTCTACCGCCAGGCGGATGTTGGGGGCCTGGAGGGCCTGCTCAACACCCTCTCTTCCACGTGGCAGCACTTGCTCAAGGCCAAGGCGGTCCCAGCAGCAGGTAAAAGTACCAAGTCCAACACACACTTCCACGTGGGCGTGTTTGCCCGCTGCCTGCATCTGATTGAGCAGTGCGTGCGCAGCAACTTTGAACTAGACTGGCTCGGTAACGTGACCACGCGCCCAAAGCCGGACGTGTCCACTACTCTCTTTGAGGAAGTTCTGCGGCTGCGTCATTTCGCCCGCGAGTGCCTGTCCACAGCGCCCAAGAATGCGGCGACGCGCAAGGCACTGGAGCTCATCACCAGCACCTTCAAGCAGTTGTTTAAGCTCTTCTATCCTACCACTCGTCTCCAGCGTGACCTCTTCCTGGAGGTGCTGATGCATGGCAAGACCGATGTATCAGATCCGCAAGCAGAAGCGCAGGTGTGCGTGTGGAAACCTGTGTGTGTGTGTGTGTGCGTGTGTAAACCTGTGTGTGCGTGTGTGTGTGTATCTGTATCTGCGTGCGTGTGTATCTGTATCTGTGTGCGTGCGTGTGTACATCTTGAGTATGTCTGTGTGCATGTGCGTATCCCCCCCTCTCTCTGTGGTCAGTGTCTTTGGAGTTGTTTGGGTTTCTTCGTATGCGCGTGTGCCCTTGCTTGCTCTGGTGCTCGTTTCCTCGTTGCAGCCCACGCTTGTTGAGTGTGTGTGTGTGTTGCGCCCCCACACATGGTTTCCACATGTGTCACTCACTCGCCGTTACCACCCTGCGTTGCTCGAATTCCAGCCGCTGCTACTCGCGCTGTTGTCAGTGTTCTCACAGCCCGGTTTCAACTTCCCCAAGTTGTTTCTCGCCAAGAGCACGCTCGTGTCTGAAACCGCCAAGACCATGTACGTGTGTGTGTGTGTATGTGTGTTTTCCCATTCTTCTGCGTTATCTTCCTCCTGTGAATGCGTCCTTGCATCGTGTTGGTGACGTTACGGCGCCGCAGCGCCCAGCACGCCCTTTGATGCTATGCGCTGGCGATTCTTCCTGAACACATCGATTTGTGTTGCCTGGGGCTCATGTCTCTGTGTATGTGTGCGTGTATGTGCATGTGTGTATGTGTATGTGCATGTGCATGTGTATGTGCATGTGTATGTGCATGTGTATGTGTATGTGCATGTGTATGTGTGCGTGTATGTGTGTATGTGTATGTGTATGTGTATGTGTATGTGCATGTGTGTATGTGTATGTGTATGTGTATGTGTATGTCGCCATCCACGCTCACGCGTCGTGCCTTGTACGCATGCATCACAGGCAAGTGGTGGAGGTGGAGGGCGAGGACGCTTACGAAGCCCTGACGGTCAGCACCAACTCTGTCCGCGCCAACGCCCTCAAGACCAGCGAGCCGGAAGTCTGGTGCGTATCATGCACAAGCACATGCATGTATGGCATGGAGCTGCGTAACTCTATTTGAGCCATGCCCGAGCATGGTTTTGCATGTTGTCCGTGTGCACTTTGGGCCATACCGCCCAACAGCTTCAAACCAGCCCGATTCCTCCTCACCCCGCGTTATTATCTTGCCGGTGACTTTGGTGCGCACTTCCCTTCCCAACCTGTCGATTAACTTCTTATTGTTCTTCTTGTTTTTCTCTGACTCTATTGCTGTCTCTGCCTCCTCCTCCACCACCACCACCTCCACCTCCACCACCACCACCACCTCCTCCTCCTCCATTTTCTTCTTGCATGCGTGGCACATGTCAGGGAGAGCAACGGCCCGAGCGGTACGCACTGGATCCAGGTGCAGATGCAGCCCAACGTGTATATCAGCGAGCTGACGCTGGTGGCGGCGAGCCGCGACTCGTACCGCCCCAGCCGCGTAGACGTCAAGGTGGGCACGGAGGACGACCTGTCCAGCATGTGCTCCATCAACTGCGATGCCGAGCGCAAGGGCGACAACATCACCATGCTGTCGGACTGCGACGAGTACTACCCGGTCGTGAGGCTGTGCATCTCAGCGGACGGCATCAACACGCGGATCCGCCAGCTCGTTGTTGTTGGTGAGCAGCGCACGCTCCAGCCCGGCCTGGCGGACGCAGAGGTGATGACGCCCTACTCTGAATACGTCATGGCGCAGTGCGGCATGTTTGCCGGGAAGAGCGACGATGACGACGTGTCGTCGGACCTGTTCCGCGAGGTGGTGCATCGCCTCATTGCCATGGTGCGTGGCACAGCTGCCAATGGGTCCCACAGCATCGAGGAGCTGGTTGCCGCACTGCTCACGTCCACCACGACGCAGCTCAGCCTCAAGTCTGCCATGGCCACACAGCACCCACAGCCGCAAGGCGCAGCACCAGCAGCGGCAGCCTCTCAAGAGTCTCAGAGTAAGTCAAGGAACGTGCGTTGTGGTTGCTTGGCCATCTGGTATTCGTAGATGCTCCACTCGCCCTTGATGGCAGAGAGCTTTTCCTTTTGATTACTGGTCTGTTTTGTTTGCCCTCTGGTCTTCTCTTTGCTTCTGCACTTGGCCGCAGGTCTGCACACACACACACACACACACACTGATCGCTCTCTCACTCACACACACACACACACACTGAACACACACTGAACACACACTGAACACACCCTCCCTCGCATTGAACACACAGGCAAGCTGGCGAGCGGGTTTGTGGTTACAGTGCTGCAAGAGGCGCTGATGGTACTCAACTCTGGACAGGTGGACGTGTCGACGTCACCCTTGTTCACCAAGATCCTGCCCAGCCTGCTTGCCCATGCGAGCTTCCTGGAGCACGCGAGCACCGCAGAGGTGCTGGAGGTGGTTGGCCTCATCCAAGAGCTGCTGGGCCGCATTGCTGCGATGCAGCCTGCTTCCTCCGGATCAAAGGCGGACAGCGGCCACAACAAAGCCGACAACACTGACGAGTCTGCCGCCTCCTCACCACGCCTGGTGGTGGTGGAGACAGCGCACCCCTACGAGCAGGCCGTGCGCCAGCAGCGGGCCATCAGCTTTGACAAGGACACCAGTTGCCTTGGCATTGAGTTTGACCCGCGGTCGTCCTTCTCCCAGGTGGAGGACAAGCTCGTGATTTGGGTGCGGCGCAGCGACAGCGAGGACTTTGTGGAGTTTATGTCCTTCACAGGCAACACCGATTTTCCGTCACAGAGCCTCATCCTGCCTGGCCACGCCGCCATATTCGAACTGCAAACCGCCACAGATTACCAGGTGCGCAATGCTTTTTGGCGTGTGTGTGTGTGTGGATGTGAATGTGAATGTGAATGTGGTGAGGAAGGAGTTGGGAGTAGGACATTGTGTTGTCCCGTTTCGCGTCTCGTTTTGTTCAACAAGTAATTGTTTGTGTTTCTCATCACAACAAGTTGCATCGCGTTCGTTTCAGACTCAACACTGTCGCTTACATCTTAACATCTGCGGCGTTTTCTTTTATGTGTTTGTGTGTGTGTGTGTGTGTGTGTTTTTTTGTTCGTTCGGTTGTTCGTTTGTTTGCCTTTTCTTGATTTGACTGCAGGATCTGGAGCGAGAGAACAACGAGTCGTGCTTTGGGTTCAAGGCGACTGTTGTTGGCTACAAGTTCTCCGAGTGCTCCCGCGACCTCCTGCACATCCTGGAGCGTGAGTTGACGCTCGTCGGCGGCATGTGCGCCGCGTCCCTCCTGAAGAAGAAGGCCATCACCCGCCTGAGCCGCGCAGAGCTTGAGGAGGACGATGAGGACGAGGGCAAGGGCAAGAAGCACAAGCACAAGGCAAAGCTCACCTCCGACGAGAAGAAGGAGGTGCGCTGCTACACTCGACACGTCCTCGTTTGGCTTATGTTACTTGTGTTTGCTTGTGCTTGCTTGTGCTTGCTTGTGCTTGCTTGTGCTTTCACTCGCCAAATCCCGCCCTTTACTCATTCGCCCCCCCCCCTCTCTCGCGCGCTCTTCTTCGCATTTCCTTGGCCTCTTGTGTGAGCAGCGCAAGGAACTGGCGGCTGCGCTTGATGCCATGGCGTCAAGCCTCTTCTCCAAGGGTCTGCGGCTCCCAGATCAACACAAGCTGCTCGAGTTCTTCAAGGAGCCATCAGGTACACTGTGTGTGTGTATGTGTGTGTGTGTGTGAATGCGTCTCTCAGGGGGTTTACGGCCTTGTTTGATGGTGTTGTGCTTGGGACATGCCCGTCTTGTGTGAACTACCCTGTTTGCCTCATCGAAACGTTCCTTGTCCTCAATCTTTGTCGTCCATTACAGTCAAAGCCCTGATGCATTTCCATCCGCGTGAAGAAGGCAACTTCGACCAGATGTTCCTGCGCAACTTTGTCGACGCCACCCCCAACACACCAGGCGGCCGTCTCGGTGCGTCTTGTGTTGTGTCGTCTGCGTGCATGTTGTGTGCATGTCTTGGGTTGGGTGAACGTGTGCGTTTGCGTGCACACAGGTCTCTGCCACGGTGTCGGTGCATTTTGGCGCACGACGCACGCGACCACGAGCAAGCGAGGCGCAGTGTTCCCGTTTTGTCCCGAACGGCTGAATTATGTCCACATACACACGCTCATCCTCACCACCATGCTCATCCTCACAATCATGCACACGCTCACCACACTCGCGCACACATGCACATGATGATGCTGGCGCTGATGCAGCTGAGTGGTTGCAAGGGCCATGTGCAGTCAACCCTCGTTCGTGCACGCTCGAGTACATGCAGCCAGGCAAAGAAGTGACAACCATCAAGCAAGGCGACACGTGCAAATTCAAACGTGAGTAGACAAACTGCGCGCTGGCCTTCTTGACCTCCTGGTGCAAATATGTTACCTCTCTTCCCTCCACCTGCTTCCCACTTTCACGAGAGCGTTGTTGTCCTGTGTGTGGGTGTGTGTTGACACACAACTGCCATTCCTCGTATTGGTCACACACACACACACACCACACAAACACAAACACACACACAACTGACATTGCGCATGCGTTGCTTTCCTGTTTCTCTTCTTGTGTTGCTGGTTTTGTTTTGCTGTAGTGCAAACGCGCGCCACGGATGGAGGCTTGATCCACCACCCGAACACGATGGTGCGGTTCATTGCGAAGCGGCGGCGTGACAAGGCCACGTCTTCGTCCGAGCCGGCCAGCAAGGGCAAGGCCAATGGCAATGACGCTACCGCGGGTTCCTCTGCCAATGCTGATGCTGACAAGAGCAGCGCCCGCTCCCGCGATGTGCTGGCTGGTCTTGAGCCGCGCAAGACCGCGCATGGCATCGAGTACCAGTCGCTGTTTGCCCGCGGCGGCGTTCGCTACAGCCCGGAGGAGGCACGGCTGCGGTACCTGCAGAAGGCCGTGGAACAGGTGTCCACAGACGCCGTGGAGGACGGCGTGTATGCCATCTCGTGGAAGCCAACCGAGCCGGGTGTGTACGATGTGGACGTGGTGGTCGACGGCCAGTCGATCCTCGCCGAGAAGCGCGCGTATGTGGTTGAGGAGGACGACCACTTCAACAGCTCGGACAAGGCGTCCACGGCCTCTGACGAGGAAGAGGAAGCCGCCCGCGCTGCCGTCGACAAGGAGCTGGAGGAGCTCGATGCAGAATGCGAAAACGACGTGGTCATGACACCCGGCTCCAGCAAGTTCAAAGCCATCAAGGACGTCGTTGTCCGAGCAGCGCCTTCGCAAGAGAGCATCGGGGTGCGTACACGCGTACTCGTGTTTGTTTCAGCCCGTGGTGTTGCTGTCGTGGTGTCCGGTGTGCGTGTGCTCGGCTTTTGGGGTGTGCTCGGACACGATTGCTGTCGTGTGAATGAAGCCTCAGCGGTTCCCATGTTGTTCCAAAGCGAACGTAGTGTTTTAATGTTTGATTTGTGTTGGCTTCCGCTGTGCTTGGGCTGCTTTCTTGTCCTCTGTACCCTTTTGTTGTCGTTTGGTCGATTCACCCTGATTGTTGACATGTGTCATGTGTGGTTCCCCCGAAACAGGTCGGCAAGTTGTCTCCCGGCGATATCATTGACACGAGCGACTTGCAGACAAACGCGGAAGGCATGTGGGTGAAGCTGGCAGGCGAATGCATCTTCTCATGCGTCGAAGAGGTATGGGAAAGGGGATTTCTACTTAACATGTGTGAGTGCAGGCGCGAGTGCACGTGTGAAGACGAATGATGCTGCGTCTAGCTTGATATATGTTTGCTGTGTGGGATTGGGCTACAGTTTGCTTGGGGTGGCGGTCGTACGTATTGTAGTCGCTGGCTTGTAATGCTGTCCCCGCTCTGTGTCGTTTTACCTCTTTGTTACACCACCATCAACTCTCACACGGATTGAACTTGCGCTTGTAGTCGATGCGGCACCTCGATGCGTGGGTGCCCCATCACATTTCCGAGTTGTTTGGGGGCGCGCAAGTCCTCGAAGACCTGGCTGAAGACGCTGATGTGGACAGCAAGGGGAGCAAGCAATCGTCCGCAGAATCCCCCGCCGGCATGTCTGCACCGTACGTCACATGACCATTGCTACTGGCTTGCTGGTGTTGTTGTCTTTCATGACCGAAGGCGACTCCTCCCTACTCGCTGCTCATGAACGCGTGGTCTGATGTAGTGCTTTGTTCGACTTTCTCATTTTCACATGGAACATGTTGTTTTGTGCCGCGTTCTCCATGCTCGAACCGTACACCCCTCTGCACGGCATGTACATCTGCAGTCGCGGGGGCTTTCAGCTGGGCCCGGGCCCCTTTGGCAGCTTTGGCAGCGGCCCGAGCGGCAGCGGCTCGCTCGGTGCGCCTGCTGGCATGAGTCCCTTTGGCTCCGCCTTTGGCAGTGGCCCTGCTGGTGGGTTTGGTGTGGGCCCGGTACTCAGTGCGCGACCTCCTGCGCCCGGTCCACGGCCGCCTGGTGCCATCGAAGGACTTACGTATCAAAAGAACGAGGTACCGACTTTTGGACAACCGGTACGTGCGTTTGGAGCGCCAGCGCCTGCGTTTGGAGCGCCAGCGCCTGCGTTTGGAGCGCCTGCGTTTGGAGCGCCTGCGTTTGGAGCGCCTGCGCCTGCGTTTGGAGCGCCTGCGCCTGCGTTTGGAGCACCAGGTCCGTTTGGGGCCAAGCCGTTTGATTTTGGCGGCACCAAGAAGGACTCGCCGTCATCGGCGGATCAAGCAGGTAGCGCGTTGGCCAAGACAGTGAAGAAGAAGGGGAAGAAGAAGCCTGCTGGGAAGAAGGCATTTGACATGTTCCATGGCGAGGATGTGGTGGATCTTGTCACCCAAGAATCGAGCTCAGCGCCCGGTGAGGCCAAGCCGTTCTCGTTTGGAGAGGCGGCCAAGTTGAAGACGGGTTCTGACAGCTCCTCTTCATCCTCTGGTGCAAAGCCGGAGGCCGCGGCCAGCAAGCCAAAGGCCGACGAGCCTCCCCTGTTCTTGGAGCGGACGTGTCGCCAGGCATCGTACACGTTCCCTGTGGCCCGGCTGGTTCGCACCATCTATGCGGTGTTCTTGTGGCACGCCAACTTCATGCCGGATGCTGTCCTCTTGGCAACGCACCTCAAGTTCCAGCCAGACATGCTCCGCCCCCGCACCGAGGAGAAGCAGCGGCAAGGTGCAAGCGGTCGTCGTTGTGGTTGTGTGATGTGTGCGCATGCGTTTGTGGCATGCTGAGTGCATGCTTATGTCGGCGAGTGCGTGCATGTGTCGAACCCACTGTTTTCCAGCCAGTGCGCGCATTCCGTGTCAAATGCTCACTGTCTTGGTTTGTTTTCTTTGTCCCTTTCTGACACGACAGAGACGCAGCGCTTGCGCAAAGCCTTTTCTCACCCACCGCCTCCTGTCGAAAGCATCGGTGCGTACGCTTTCAAGAGAGAGAGTGTGTGTGTGAGTGTGTGTGTGTGAGGGTGAGGGTGAGTGAGAGTTAGAGAGCGAGAGAGTGTGTGCGTGTGTCCAAGGGGAAAAGTTTGTGTGTGTGTGTGTGTGTGTGTGTGTGTGTGTGTGTGTGTGTGTGTGTGTGTGTGTGTGTGTGTGTGACGAGGGGGGGGGGGGCGAAGTACCAGTGTTCATTGTGATCCATTGTGATATGGCATGGCTAACCGTTCACGTGCCCACTGCTGTTTCCAATGCACCGATGCTTGCGTCTCGTTGCTCTTGTCTTCATGACAGAGCACGGTGCCACGGTGTACTTCACCAACTCTGACTCGTCCATGCCCATCAAGGCGAAGGTACGAAGCGAACAGACTCGCACAAACGAGCAATGACACAGCCAGCACAACTGCAAGCAGAAGGCGCCGCTTGTGCCGTGCAACCAATGTACCGCAGTTATGTTACACTATCGCAATGGCTGCCTCGCCGCATCTGATCCCAACTTTCTTCTTGTGTACGTGTGTGCAGGTGAAGAAGGTGCAGGTACAGCACATCATCATCAACGACCTCAAGGTTGAGGTTGGTATGCGGCTCGAGGCCAAGGACCGTCTCAACCCAAACATGATTGGTGAGGATGTTCTCGTTTGCATTGGATTTGCTCGTGCTCAAGCTTGCATTGGATTTGCTCGTGACGCAAGCTTACTGGTGCTGTCCTGTCTCCCACGCGTGAACCTTGCCTTCGACGTAAACGACCGTGCGTCCTCTGCTTGCCTCAGCGCCTGCCAACGTCATTGCTGTGCTGCCGGACAACCGCATTCGGGTATGCGTATGCGTATGCGTGTGTGTGTGTGTGCGTGCGTGTGTGTGTGTGAACGTGGGCTTGTGTGTGTAATTGGGAGTGTGCTAGCTTGCTTGCTGGGTTGGGTTGCCTGCTCTTGCAACCAGGTATGGTCGACTGTCTTTGCTGATATGACCTTGCGCGCGTGCGATGGTTTGGTGTGCAGATCAACTTTGATGGGTGGAGTGCGCGGTACGACTACGAGGCTTCGCTGGACGACGCAGACTTGCATCCAATTGGATATGCACAAAGTATCAACCACAAGCTTGAGCGGCCCAACGGCTATGGAGAAAGGTGATTTGCTCTGTGCGTGTGCGCGTATGTGCATTGCGTTGTTGGCGTGTCGTAGCATGTGTTACATCTTGTTGTATCGTGTGGAGTGAGTGTGTTGTGGGACAACAAAAGCGACTCGAGTGTTCAGCGATGAAAATCAAGCAGCGGCGAGGAAACCCACTCAACTCAACGAGTGGCCTTCACGCTGTGCTCTTGATCTGCAATCACACGCAAACTCATTTGTTGTGTTACAGGTTTGTTTGGCCGGAGTATCTTCGCGACATCAAGGCGCGCCCAGTGCCGTTTGAGCTGCTCTCTCACCGCAGCAACCAGAAGCTCATCGAGCTGGACAAGAAGGTGTGCAGATGCCGCTTTGTGTGTGTGTGTGTGTGTGTGCGTGCGTGCGTGCGTGTGTGTGTGTGTGTGTGTGTAGCTTGAAGCATGTGACACTTGTTTATGTTGGTCAACGTGATTTCGACCATTCATTTTGGTTTTCTTTTGTGTACAGCACTCGCTTACCTCGCGTGCGCTTCCCATGCGTGCGATTCTTGTCCATGCACTCATGCAACGCCACGAAACCCACCCGCACGCCACTATTCCACGCTACAGGCGAGGGAGATGGGCAATGGCGCCATCGCCCATCCCATCCACGAGCACTTACTCCGCCACCACCTGCCGAACCACGGCTGGGTGTGCGATGGACGCCACCAGCAACACGATTTTTGCGGCTGCGATGGCGGCGGCGGCCTCTTTGGCGGCGTGGCATACGGCGGAACGGTTTGTTCTCCTTCCTTTGTTCGCACTCGCCTTGTCGTGATTTCTCAAGTGTTTGAGATGGTTGTTCAATTGAATTTTATCTTCTGTTGTATTCCCTGCGTCCCACACATCCATGAACACACAAACACACACACAATCGCCAGCCAAGTATTCACTGATATCATGCTTCACGCACGCACATGAAATTACCAACACCATCCTCATGCCCCCTCCGCTCACACAAACACAAACACACACACACACACACACACACACACACACACACACACACACACACACACACACACACAGCCGCGGTTCCGCTGCATGGACGGCTGCGACTATGACCTGTGCCTTGGCTGCGTTGCAACAAGCCGTCTGTTGTACGATCGCAAGAAGTACCCGCGCCGTGAAGACGCGGGTGGCGGCGGCCTGTTTGGCGGCCGTGACGGCCTGTTTGCGGATGATGACGACGACGACGATGAGCCGTCAACAAGCGAGGAGGAGGAGGAAGAGGACCTCTTTGGCGACGGCAGTGAGGGCGACGCTGCCGATCGCCCGACGCGGCAGGACGTGAAGGTCCTGCTTGAGGTCGAGGCCTCGGGTAAGGAGGTGGAGGTGCCTCTGTCCAACATCCGCTTTGTGGATGACGTGGAGCAGGAAGCAGAGGAGTCGCCGGCAGCACTCGCGGCAAGCCAGGTGCCGCTCGTGCCGCGGCTGCTGGCGTCCTCGTGGGACCAGAAGGAGGACCGCGCACTGTTTGTGCTCTCGTCCATCATGCGCCAGTTCAGCAAGGCCAGCGGGCTGACTATCGAGTCTGCGTTTTACGGCGAGCCCGCCGCCAACATTGGCAAGGACGTCACCACCACCGTGCAGTACTTTGTGAGCGAGGGCACGCTGCAGCTGCCCTGGAAGTACGACGTGCTGTTTGGGCCCACGCGCCTGCCCCAACCCAAGCTGCGGATTGTGTACAAGGTGCGCGGCGTGGATGGCGAGGAGCTCATCAACGAGACAGACAAGGACGTGCCCGTGCGCCTGGACGCGGAGCAGATTGCCCGTGCCCGCGGCGTCGACTGGGACAAGGTCATGCGCAAGCTCACGGCTCCTGACGACGACGAGGATGACAAGAAGAAGAAGAAGAACAAGGGCAAGCAGAAGGACAAGAAGGAGGAGAACGCTGGTCCTGTGCCTGTGCCGTTTGGCGGCTTTGGCGGCTTTGGAGGCGGCTTTGGCGCGCCCCAGCAGGACCAGGTGTGCGAGCTGTGCAAGGAGACCCACCCTTCGCCGATCACCTACCACATGCGAAAGCAGCACCCGGGCTGCGGCAAGAACGCGTCCGGCATGGGCTACAACAGCGGCGGCTCGTATGACTCTGGCTGGGTTGGCAACTGCGGCGACGGCGGCATTGGCGGCAACACGTGGTACCTGCTGTGCCGCGAGTGCCGGGAGAAGTACATGCATGAGGAGAAGAGCGACGACGAGGAGGAAGAGGAGGGCGTGGATGCCCTGCTGGCGACGGCCCTGGCCACTGCGCTCCCCAGCATCGACGATGAGGGCGAGGCCGAGGCCGACCCTGACGCCACCACCGCCGTCGGCCTCCTCAAGCGCGTGGGCCTCAAGGCCGAGTTCCTGCTCAACCTGGAGCCGTTTGAGCACGAGGCGCGCTTCACCTCGGCGTCGGCGGCGGACGACGTGGACAGCGACGCCACGCTCGACCCGACCGCCGGCTCGCTGTACATGGAGCTGAAGCAGGAGCTCCTTGATCTGCAGCCGCCAGAGCCAGACGCGGACGTGCTTGGCCGCTCCATCTCCGCCGCACCCACGCGCGCGCGCCCAACGCTGCGCAAGCAGCAGACGCTCGGCGGCGAGGCCCTGCGCAAGCTCTCTGGTGACATCACGGCTGCCCTCAGCCCGCTGCGGCGCAACGTCACGGACGATCCAACGGCGCTCTCCAGCACCGCTGCTGGCTCGCTCAGCCCCCAGCGCGGCAAGCACACCCGCCGCGGCGTCTCCAGCACGAGCGGCGCCGACGACGCAGCAGGGACGGGTGCAGGCGCAGGTGCGGGCGCCCCGAGGCCACGGCGGCCGGGCCAGCTCAGCCGCGCGCTGAGCCTGCCGTACCCCGACGATGAGCAGGAGGCGCAGCACACGACGGTGCCCAACTCGCCCACGTCTGCACGCGGCCAGGCGCCGCGCGGCTTCACGGCCCCACACGAGGCGCTGCTGGGCCGCCCGTCGAAGCAGCTGCGCAAGTTTGCCAAGAGCGACGGGCAGGCCGAGCTGACGAAGAACGTACTGGACTTTGTGTCGTCTTCGGCCAGCACGGAGCGGGTGGCGCGGCTGCTCAAGGCCGAGGCCGAGCACGTGTACCAGCGGCTGCAAGGGCTGCGGCTGTTCATTGTGCTGCTGAAGAGCGTGATGACGCCCGGCGCGGTGCAGGACCTGCTGTGGTACTTTGTGTCGACGCTGGCCAAGGGCAGGAAGCCCGAGGTGGACAGCGAGGGCGTGGACGTGCCGCTGCCGCTTGGCAAGCACCCGCTCGGCGACATTGACACCACCAACACGCTGGTGGGCTTTGTGCGCCACACATACCACCACCTGCTCTCTGTCGTGCTTGATTTCATGCGGGCGCTGCCTGCGTCATCGCCCGTGCAGCAAATTGCGCTGCGCTGCTGGGCGCTGCCGTTCCAGGAGGCGGACCTGCCGTTCCTGCACCGCTCCCAGATCTTCTCCGTCGTCTCGGGCCACGTGTCGCTTGGCCCGCGCGCACGCGAGGCTGAAGGCGAGCAGGAGGTGGTGGAATGGCTGGAGCGCGCCCCGGTCAAGGCCGAGGTGAGCGTGGCCTCAAAGGAGGCCCTGAAGGACTCCCTCTCCGACAGCGACACGCAGACGTTCTGGGAGAGCGACGAGAGCCCCGAGGGTGGACAGCGCTGGATTCAGCTGGAGATTGCGCCGGGGGAGCGTGCTGAGCAGGTGGCCGTGTTCATTGACAACGGCCGTGACTCCAACCACCGCGTGTCCAAGGTGCGCGTGGAGACTGGGCCCTCGGCGGAGAAGCTCGTTGGCTTTGGCTCCTCCATCTCCGTCAGCTCCAAGTTTGTGGGCTGGCTGACGCTGCCGTGCGCGCACAGCAGCAAAGGCGGTGGCGGCAGCAGCAGCGGTGGCGGCGGCGGCGACAAGAAGGCTGGAGGCGGCGGTAGCGTTGGTGATGACGACGGCATGTCAGCATGTGCCTCTGACGCCGCGGCTCCAGCCGGTGGCGACGGCGACGGCGACGGCATTGCGGTTGCCATGCCGCCCGCGCCACGCGTCGTGCGCATCCACCTGTCTGGTGCAAGCAAGCTGCGTGTGCGGCAGGTGCGTGCGTATGGCCCCGCTATCCAGGACGCAAGCGTGCCCAACTCGCGCGTGCAGTACATGCGCCACCGTGCTGGGGAGGCGCTGCGGCTCTTCCGCGAGCTGACGATGCAAATCTTCATGAGCGGCAAGACGGCGGCGAGCAAGAAGAAGAAGGCCCAAGGCGAAGCAGGCGCTGAGGGCCTGGGCGTTGGTGCGCAGCAGCAGCAGCAGCAGCAACAACAGGCGCAGCCGGGCGAAGCGGCCGGCGAGGGCGACAACACTGAGATGAAGGAGCAGGTTGTGGGCATCCTGTTCCAGGAGGGCCAGGAGCTGAACGCGCTGCAGGCGGAGGTGTGCCGCCACTTCTTCAACGAGGTGAAACGCAAGACGACGGCGCTGACGGAGAGCGGCGCGTGCCTGCAGGAGACGGATGAGGTGTACATGCACGAGCTGCTGACGCTGATTCGCTCGCTGACGGCGTCTGAGGCCGGCCTGCGCGCCATCTCCAAGGAGAGTGACATGCTGAACCACCTGCTGGTGCTGCTGAACATTGGGACGACGCGGGTGCAGCAGCAGGCCGTGGCGACGCTGCACAAGCTGCTTGAGTACCTGCCGTACGACCGCACAGTGAAGATGGTGGACACGCTGCCGATTGCCAAGGTGGGCTACGGCCCACTGTCCGTGCTGCTGCTCACCGTGGCCAAGTGCCTGACGCTGCAGGTACGCGGGCGCGGCAAGGACAAGTTCTCCACGACGGTGACGTTTGCGCAGGTGGTGGACAAGGACGCAGCCAAGAGTGCGCTGCCGAGCAAGTGGCTGGTTGGGCACGTTGAGGAGGAGGTGGTGCCGTCCGTGCTCATGCTGGTTTCGGACCTGGTGTCGAAGCTGCCGTCGTACCAGCACAAGAGCAAGGCGGTGCTGACGCAGCTGGTCTCGACGCTCACGGAAGTTGAGGGCAAGGAGGGCAGCAGCCGCCAGGAGGTCATCACGGACCCGCAGGTGTGGCTGTCGCTGGCGGCGCTGTGCGTGATTGACGGCGCGACCGCGCTTGACATGACCAAGGCGGCGTCGAGCGAGGCGCGGGAGAGCCAGCTCTTCTGCGACAACCACGACGACGGCGAGACGCACGCCACGCACGCGTGTGCGGAGTGCGAGATGAACCTGTGCACGGAGTGTGAGCGCGTGCTGCATCTCCCGCGTCGCAAGCGCGACCACACGCGCACGCGCATTGGCGAGGCCTCTGCGCAGCTGCAGGTTGAGCTGAACGAGGGCTGTGGCCGGGCTCGCCTGCCGCAGCTGCTGGCCATCGCGGACCGCAAGAGCCTCAAGGCCGTGCTGGAGTTTAAGATGGCGTCGGGGACGGTGGCGTGCCGGTTCTGCGAGCAGCCGCTCGGCGACGATGGCGGCATGGCGCAGCTCGTCGCCACGGGCATCAAGAACGTTTGCTCCGACCCAGACTGCATTGAGCTGGCCAAGAACTCGTGCACGAAGACGCTTACCTGTGGCCATGCCTGCTGCGGCATTCGCGGTGAGGAGAAGTGCCTGCCCTGCCTGCGCGGGTGCAAGCCCGAGGTTGAGGCTGGCGATGGCGAGGAGGGTGGCCAAGTGGCCCGCGCGCCGCTGACGCAGGATAACGAGGACCAGTGCATGATTTGTTTCACCGGTGCGCTGCAGGAGGAGCCGTGCATCCAGACGCCGTGCGGCCACGTGTTCCACTTCAACTGCGTGAAGCGGCTGCTGGAGGTTCGCTGGAACGGCCCGCGCATCACGTTTGGGTTCTGCAAGTGCCCCATCTGCAGCTCGTCCTGGATTCACAAGGACATCCCCGCCCTACAGCATCTGCTGCAGCCGCTCAACGACCTCTACGATGAGGTGCGCTCGTGTGTTTTGGAAGGGGGGGGGAGAGTTGGTTGGTCATTGATGTGTGTGTGTGTGTGTGAGTGTCTGTGTGTGTATTGTCTATGTGTGTGTGTGTGTGTCTGTCTGTCTGTCTGTGTGCGTCTGTGTGTGTGTGTTTGTCTCTGTATGTTTGTTTGTGTGTCTGTGCGTGTCTGTGTGTGGCGGTTGTTGTTGTCGCCCTTTCTCACGGCAACATTTCAACGCTGTGGTTAGGTGCGACGCAAAGCGCTCATGCGGCTTAACTACGACGGCAAAGATGAGGAGGCGCCCACAGAAGAAGAACCGCGCGCAGAGTATGCCATGCGCAAGGTATGCGCCTGTGCTTGTTTCAAAACGTGTAGCTTGTTGATCAGCTTGTGTGTGTGTGTGTGTGTGTGTGTGTGCACGCACATGCACGTGCATGGTCGTTCGCTGACACAGGTGCAACTCCTGCTGCTCTCATTCGTGCCCTTCTTGTGCTTGCCAGTATGCGTATTTCCCATGCCACAAGTGCGGCAAGGCGTACTTTGGAGGCGCCGCTGCGTGCGAGGCCGGCCGCGGCTCTGCAGACTTTGATCCCACGGAGCTTGTCTGTCCACTTTGTGTTGGCGGCGCTGCCACCCAGGTGTGCGCTGTGTGTGTGTGTGTGTGTGTGTGTGTATGTGTGTATGTGTGTCTGTGTCTGTCTGTCTGTCTTTCTGTCTTGTCTGTGTGTGTGTCTGTGCGTGTGTGTGCGTGTGTGATGGCAAGTTTCCCCCATTCCATGTATTCTCAAAACTCATGCCAATGTGTGGTGTGTGCAGATTTGCCGCAAGCACGGCACCGAATTCCTCGAGTACAAGTGCCGCTATTGCTGCAGCGTTGCCGTGTTCTTCTGCTTTGGCACCACCCACTTCTGCAACGCCTGCCACGACCAGTACCAGCGATGCCAGAGCACTCCGAAAGAGCTGCTTCCTCAGTGCCCGGTACGTATATTGTGCGTGCGTGCGTGTGTGTGTGTGTGTGTGTGTGCGTGCGTGCGTGCGTGCGTGCGTGCGTGTGTGTGTGTGT